ATATATATATATATAATCTTGTGTCAAGTCATATTTTTAATGTCTTAATGTTTCTACTTGTGAATAATCTTTTCTCTGTCAAGTGATGAATTTCAGATTATTTGAAAATGATCTTTAGTCCTGCCCAGATAGATAAGCAGCAACAGGTTTTGCTCATTGCTGATACTTTGCCTTTTTTGGCATTGTATTAAAACTCACAGATGTACTGTGTGCTCCAGAGCAGAAAACTGCCAACATTTCTACTTTTATCGAGGTGCTCACACTGATGATGATCAGTTAATCAAATGCATTCATTCAGCAATACCTAGGTGTTACATTCAGTCGTAATCCTAGAGGGAAGTAGCTAACGCAAACAAAGTTTTTCGCACTAAGAGTTTCCTCTTTGGGCTCATTTAAATAAATATTATCATGATGGATTCTGTTGCTGTATAGGGATTCAGCTTTTTCCCATGGTTACTAGTTCCTGGGCAGTGCCAATGAGCAGGAGCTGTGGGTGATCTTCCTAATGAGCTCCAGAACTGCAGGAGAGCTCCCTTCCTTGCTGGAGCATTACATACCTATTGGTATTTGCTATCAGTCTTCTCTGGTTGTTAACTAAAAGACTAATACTTGCCTTGTTTTCTCCTCGTGCCTCTAGTGCCTAGCTGTCTCCTGAGTTGCCAATTCTGGATCCATCGGCTACTTTCTCGTGCCTGCAAAGGAACCATATTCACCTTCAGCTGCCCAGCTGCCTTTCCACCACCAGCCAAACTACTTACCCTCTTCTCAACATGCCGAGGTCTCCACCTTCCAGTAAGAGTTCAACAACCTAAGACTAACCAAACATTCTCCGATTATCCTGGGCTTACCATATTTCCTCCCTGCTCAGGTTTCCCAGGCTCCCTTGTAAATAACACTGTTCAATATACTGTAAACCATGTTCAAGTTTGAGTCTGCTGACCCTCAGTCTGGTTCTCACTGGGTTTTACCTCCAAACTGTGATAGTTGTGTTTTTGTACATTTGAAGTTAGATTTAAATAAAAAAATATTTAATATGTCCTGCAACATAAAACCCTTACATTTGAAAGTGGGAGCACTTGCTTTTTGTATGACTACAGACATGAATTTATTACAGGAACAACAAAAAGGTTAAACAGTGTCATCTGGACCAGTTTCTTTAAGTGAGAAACGTTTTATCTCACATCCAGAGGACTTCATCAGTCTACGGCCTGCCAACCAGATCTGTCCCATAGGTAGCCTTCACTGCTGGCTTCAAGCCAACCTCCTTGGTTGTCCTCAGGCTGTTTCTGTGAGTAGCAAGTTGGCCATCTGGCCTAAAACATTTAATTGTTGATGATTGATTGTTTAGGATGGGTGTGTTTTGAATGTGTTAAAAGTCTACTTCTGAGATTCCGACAGGAGGTTGGCTTGAGACACAGCAGTGAAGGCTACCTATGGGACAGATCTGGTTGGCAGGCCGTAGACTGAGGAAGTCCTCTGGATGGGAGATAAAACGTTTCTCACTTAAAGAAACTGGTCCAGATGACACAATTTAACCTTTTTTTGTTGTTTTCTATCTGGATAATTGAGCTTACAAACCTTTTTTATTTTTAAATACACAAACATTTTTTGTAGAAGAATATGAGGATTTATTTGTCAACTTACTGGTAGTGGGTCGTGGAGTGACATGCACGCGCACAGTTATCATCTGCGGCCCTGCAGAGCACCAGTACCAGGCAGTATCTGTCATATGAAGCTTCTTGAAGGTTACAGTGAAAGCCCCAGTTCTGTCATCTCTGATGGCCATTGAGGAGTTCTCGTAGCTTCCCACGGAACCGGTCGACAGGCAGGATCTTGGGTCTCCGCTCCGACACCATTTCTTCTCACTTTCTCTGTTGGCATCCAGACACAGGAGAGTCAGTAAATGCTGATCTTCCACTTGTGCTCAGCGTGAATGAAAGGTTTCCAGCCGACAGCCATGCTTCTAAAGTTCCTGATAATGCAATCAGAGCTGGTCTCATGGCAGAATCTCACACTGACATTATAATGAAATTCTGATCAAAAGGAAATGTAAATGCCTGTATCTCTCACTGTAGAGGCATTGGACTGTGACAGAGCTGCCCTCCACTCCGCTCACCCTGCTGTTCACAGCTTTCAAGCCTGCAGAAAACACCAAAATGTCTCATAAGACGTTCAAGAGATGTAGTCATCAAATGAAAATCCCTGTTTTGACTCACCATGGATGACTTTAATGTTGGTGAATGTGGTGTCATCAGCTTTCCACACTCCGCCTATCTCCACCCCGCACATGTACCACCCAGAGTCCCCCTCCTTCAGCTTGTTCATGGTCACAGTGAACACCTGCTGGGCTGGGTCATCAAAGATGCTCACTCTCTCCTCAACCGGGTTTATCACCTGGGGGTCGTCGGTTCGAGCTAAAGAGGTGCAGAACTCCCTCAGTGCTCCCCTGACACCAGTATTTTACATGGTTGGTGTACTGTGGCTCGTAGTGGCAGGGGATTGTGAGGGATTCTCCCTCCAGGACTGAAAACTCCCCCTCTGTGACAACCTTACACAGGAAGACTGATAAAACAAAAGTGGTGATAAAAGTTGAAAAACAATTTAATGTTTCAGAATTTTTTACTTTTTATCTGTTTAGCTGAATGAGAAAAATTGTCCTTTTCCACATTTATAATTAAAGGTCCCTTTGTTGCACAGCACAGTTCCATTCTTTTCCCCTATCTCCCTTTTAAGACTTGTTATTCCAAAACCAGGTTAACAGTCTGTAAATCACAGGATTTTAAAGGCCTGACAGATAAACTTCAAACATACTGTTGCCTAAGGGGAAATATTATGAAAGCCTGGAAAATTTTCAAAAAAACACAAACTCCCTCAGTGCCTCCTGCAGAAAACAGCAGCTTAAAAAAAATTCAAGTCTGTCTTCGTCAAACAATTCATACAGAAAAGTAAAGCATAGAAACAGTTTATAATAAAGTGGTCGACAAAACTTGATAATAAAGTGGGAACACGGCAGCAGAGACATTAATCATGCTTTGTTTCAAATCATTAATCAAATGCCTTTTATCATCAGACTGCATCAACTGTACCTGGTATCCATGGCAACAGGCTGAAGGTGAGTCGAAGGAGCTGCAACATTTCTGAAGTTCGACTTTGAGGCTGTTTAGAGTGAATTTCCTTCCAAGCATAAAGACTCCAGGTTTCGCTGGGTCAATTTCCCCTCAGTCACATGATCAGGAGTTAAGTCCAGATGTTCCCACATGTTAACTGTGTAAGCGCCAGTTTGGTTTTAAGTGGGAGTCATTTGAGTAGAGATCAAGGATGTTGAATTATCTGTGGAGCTGACACTGAATTCCTGAAGTTGTTTGTGACTTCCTTTGATAATTAGGAAATCCAGACCTGAGAGTAAGAGTTCCCAAACTGATATTAGTCCTACATGTAAAGGAAATGTTTCAACGAGGACATTAAGTTTACTGGATATGATTTACACAATGGAAGCAGGTGCACGACGTACGGGAGCACAGTTAAACGAAACAATAAAAGCAAATTAAAGCAACTTACTTGGCTGTTGTTCTTGTTCTAAAGTCGTTTCTGTTCAACTGTTCCCTAAAACTGACGGTCTTATTTTGAAAAGTTCAGACTGAAAGTTCAGTCTCACCAGAGAATCGAAACTTTCTCACCCTGACCTCATTCCAGAAACCCGAGTTTGTTTTGGAGATCCAGAACTTTCCTCCCAGCTCTCCAAAACATGGTCCAACGTGCTGTTTGTCTCAGTTACATGGGGGAGCGGAAACTTTCACTTTGTGGCCATTTGCCCCATTTCTTAGAGCACATTTGGTACAGGGACAATTCAGGTTCTTTGGAAAGGTTCAGAAGAATTAACATCTTACACGTTGCAGATAGCGCTTTGAACCGACTCAGTTTGGAGAAACAAAGATTGAACAAACAAGCCAGCAGCCAGAGGCACCCCCCCACACACACACCATAAATTTTTATTTCCTTCCCCCGGCCAGACAGTTCTTCAGACACAACCAGACTGTTCTCAAAATATCTCACAAACCACTGAACAGATTTTAATGGGACTTTCAGATGATAATCATTAGAAAAAACAAAACAAGGCTACAACTCAGTTCATTGTACACATACAGAGCTCACGGGTGGTGTTTTAGTAGCTGAGAGCTGTTTCAAACACTCTGTTAACAGATTGCACAAGATTTATTTAAAACTCCATCATGCAAAGAAGTGAGTTTCCAGGTCTCTCTCGTAAACAAGTCCTCGTGGCTCAGTGGGATTAACCTGTTTAAATAAAGGTTGAATGAATGAATATGCTTTCTTTCAAGAAATCCTAGTTTCTATTGCGTATATAAATTTAAGATAAGAGGGTACTATCTTTTTTTTTCATTCATTCAACCTTAATTTCTACAGATAAATTACACTTACTCTTACCCATAAAGTAGAAACAAACTAAAATACAAAGTGGGTCCACATCAGAAGGTGAATCCCATTAGCCATTTTTCCATTGTCCACTCTCACAGCTTGCTTTAACTCTAGTCAGGGCTACAGACCTCATGACTGATGTCCCTTTCTGGCCAGTCAGTAGCTGCAGTGTGCTGATGTCATGTTTAGTCATTTTGAACCCGTGGGTCCTAAAAGAACTGAGCTGGTAGACTGAAGGTACGACAAGACGAGCCCATGGAAAATGCTAATATTGCAGTAATTTTCAGATACAGGTACATCACAACAATATCTACTGTATAACTACACTAATGAAGTTCTGTTATAGCTTTATTTGATGTTTGTGGACAGCAGTGGCAATTTTAGCCTCTTTTTACAGGTGCTTAAATTTTAACTCGGCACCCCTGAAAAATTAAGTACTGCAATTAATTTTTATTTATTTTTTGTGGGGGGCAGTTCAGGGTTTGGGTTTTGGGTTCTGTTTATTGCATTTATGATTCAATGCAACAAAATAAACACATGTAAAAGGTAACAGATCATTGTAATACTTGGTTTATTTACATAATGACATTGATTGCTGGATAAGCCTCTCAGCTGCTGCTTCCAGTAACTGTGGCCCCCTGAGCAGTTTAGTTGAATAGCCCTGATTTAGACGCTGGAATACAGTTTATTTCATTTCCAAAACCTAAAATGAGTCTGGAAAAAATGTCAAAGATAGATAAAGCCCTGCAGTCGACCTCATGATCAGCTGAATACAACAGTGAGGAAGTACATGTTCTTCTGTATGAAGGTAACTGCAGGTAAATCCTCCATTTTCTGTCATAATTACATCGTTTGCTTAAAGGTTAATGCTTAGTTAGTTGTTTTTCCTCTTTTTTTTGGATGTATATATATGTTGCAATTTGGTTGCATAAGTATAGTTTTTGTTTGTTATGAGCAACACTAAACTGAATCTGTACAAAGTGTTTATTAGGTTGTGTAGTGTAAAGCCAGTGTTGCCAGGTGAGAAATTATCGCACTAGAGACATAAAATTATCGTATTTTGAGGGAAATTATCGTACGCCCGTCATAGCCAAAATAACAAATCTATTGATGCACTATAGTAGTGATGGGTCCGCTTCCAGACCGGCTCTGCTTCTTCTTCTTTTATTCTTTTCCTCACTCATGGGGCGCAGCAGATTATTCAGCCAATCATGGCCGTTGTTCTGAGGTAAACGCAAATACGTCACTTGTATCTGTTTGCTAACACAGATGCCTTCAGGGTTCACAAAAAAAATCTGACAGACAGTTGCGAGAGGCTGATGACAAATGATTACAACCACACATTCACGGAATGGTCAAATTGTCGTATATTTGGCCTTTTTTGGGATTATTGATCATACATCATACAAATACGATAATTATCGTACACCTGGCAACACCGTGTAAAGCAGAACGCTACATCTGTAGCATCTTAGCTAGCATGTCTGTATTGCACGCTGCTAGCTTAGCGATACTTCTTGTTGTGCTGAGCTCTTTACAATTGTTATAGAATAAAGTGTTTACTTATTGAGGTAAACGTAGAACAACCCGTTAAAACACACCAGAACGCAGGAATGGTCTACTTCATTCAACATTTTCTGGGGGAGGACCACCCAACCCCACCCCCCCACCAGTATGTCCCCCCCACATTATGAATGCTTCTGACGCCAATGGCCATCACATTGTTCCGGCCCAGAGCCATAGTCAGCCCTGGGGGCTAAGCACCCCTAAAGATCAGATTCTAGAATCGCCCCTGGTGAGCAGCACGGTGGAACAGCTGGTAAAGCTGCCTCCTCTCAGTCGTTATAAGATCAAATCTTACTTGCTCTCTCCGTGCATGCGTGGGTTTTCTCCCACAGATCAGAAACATGCATGTTAAGACTGTTTCTCTAAATTGATGTTCACAGCTGAGTCAGGTCATCTGGAGAAGATCCATCCAGAGGAGCTGACTCAAACTTGTTAGATACAACAGATAAGATGTTAACTGTTCATAATAAGCTTTCAATAGAACCTCATTTCATTTGTCCTTAATTGCTTTAATATCGATGTTTGTAGGGTCTCTGGCTCCTACACCGACATTTCTCAGCTATTTTAAGATATTTTGCACGAGGAAAACAACAAATTAGAGGCACAAGGCCGCTGGATGTTTTTATTTTGATGTTAGTAAAACTGAAATGATTTCTTTGTTTACATTCATGAGCACTTTACCCCATGGGGTACAGTTCATTATATATTCAGTTCACAAGTTTGACTGCTTTAAAATAGATGCTCTATTAACCACATTTACTGGTTGTGTTGTGATATGTTGCGTAACAACACTGCAACAAGTCCTTTTAGTAATTTCTTCCAAATGAGCTTCATTTAAAGCCCATTTGGAAGAAGCTGTTTCATCTGCCTCATTTATTTTAGAAATAATAGTCTATCACCACTGGCTTTGAGATTTATGCTCTGTCCACTTTTGGCTTCATTGGTTTCCTTTCAGAGTAACACATGGGATGAGAGAATGCACAAATGATTTAAATATTGTTGCATTTCAATGTGCATGAGTGCAAGTGCATGTACATACTAAATATTTTATTTAGCTTTGCACCTGGTTAAGTGCTGCCTAATAATTCCACAGCTTGTATTTGGACTTTAGTTATTTGTATGAAAGTGTCATTGTTGCCGACCATGATTTTTCTTCTTTCAGCTGCTCCCTTCTTCAGGGGTCGCCACAGTGGACTAACTCGCACGAAGACTTGTTTTACGCCGGATGTCCTTCCTGACACAACCACAGACACCGAGCTACCACAGTCCTCTGTGTGGAGCAGAGAGCTGCTGTCTAGAGCGCCCAGGGGTGCAGATGGTGGGGGTTAAGGGCCTTGCACAAGGCAGAGTAGGGCAAATGGGGATGGAGGCAGGTGTGGGTGCTTCACCTATCCCACCCACATTTGTTGGTACGGGAATCGAACCGGCGACCTTTGGATCACAGGCCCACCTTCTTGCTATTCATGATTAATATCAAATATTGAAATAAAGAGTATAATTATTTGCATTTTTTTAAATCTACATGTCAGTTCAGTTTCACAAAGGATCAGGCACAAATGTCAGCCTGCAGTCAGTTCTCATCAAAAATGTCCAATATTTCCTGAAATACCATAAACCAGTGGTTCTCAAACTGGGGTCCCCAGACCCCCAGGGCCCATAAGCTGGTGCTTAGGGGTCTGCCAAATATATATATATATATACTGTATATATTTTTACAAGCACATACATAGTTAAAAACCTGTTAAAATATACCAAAATGCAGGAAATCACATCTACTTTATTCAAAAATGTTGTGGGGAGGAACCCCCCCACTATTTTCGTTCCGGCATTGATAGTTTTAAAAATTAATACGTTACTTGTTACGACTACTGCTGTTATGATTCTGTTCTGTTTTATGTAATAATTTTTGAAGAAGTGACAATACATTTTTGTTCATTGTGTGATAAAGTTTCAAAGTGGTTTTTGATTCTGTTAATTTTTGCAAGACTGTAACTTTTGGAAGTTAAAATTAAAAACGTGTTAAGTGTGTCTTGAATGAAAAAATACCCCATGTTTAAAAGTATATCAATTGTATTGATACTATTAAAGAAAAGGTCTAAAGTTTTTATGTTACACAAATATTTCTATTGCATTAAAGAGACAAAGTGAAGAAACATATTTAATAAGCATGAGTTATGAGGGGGGTCCCTGAACCCAAAAACTTTGAGAACCCCTGAACACAACAGAACTCCTGCTATGGTAATAGTCACTCAGCCTTCTTTCATAATTATCTGGATCTACTTTATCTACAAGCAACTTTAAATTGTTTTTTTTTTTTGTATTTGAGCTAAAAGGCAACTTTAACCCCGACATAAAAACTAACTACTGTATGAACTTCTCATTAAAACACAGGTGAGACACAAAAAACTGTTAAATGTCTCATGTTTCCCGACTATAAAGAGAGGTTGTGGTTAAATCTGGACCTTGTTTCAATTTACGGTATATTCAGTCTGTGTGTCCTGTACAAGACATTCTTTGAATAATCAAACTACTCTAATTAGCAGCTTTTTGTCTGAAAGTGTTCTTTATTAAATTTCAAATTTAATTCTTAAATGGACAGAAGATAATTCAGTTCAAAAAGTTAGCCAACGCCACTGTTACAGATGTTTTATTTCTGTCAGTGCAGTCAGGGAATGCTTTACAAATGTTAAAAAAAAAAAAAAGCATCATATCAGTAAGAAAACTGCTGCATCAAGTGTAAGGCAACGCATCTCGTTCACTTGATGCCGTCCAGGTCGTCAAGGAAAATATCGTAGCATCCAGGGTTTTTACAGGTGGTTGATGACGTCATGTGATCTGTTGGGACACAAAGCAAGAGTTCAGATTATTTCTGCAAGTAGCATCAGACGCAACAGACACGGGACAGAGCAGTTTGGCCATCGTTGGCCCTGAAAAGCAAAAGCAGCACGTGTCGTCGTTTGGATGTGAGAAGCAGCTTATCTGGAGCCGTTCGATGTGAAGTGATGAGCTGACAAGTGAAGAACAAAGCTGCGCCTCCAGAGTATTCATTCATTGTCTAAGCATATCATCTCAGTCCACAGACACGTTTTAGGCTGAATGTTTAACAGTAAGTGACTGCAGAGTCAAACTACTTGATCATCAACAGTAATAAAAGTTCTGATTCAATTAATAACCTTAAACAGAGTTTGGATATTCTGAAGTGGGTTTCTGTGGCAAGGCTAAGAGCATTTATCTCACCTGTATTACATAATTATACGGCACTGAAAAGGATTGTACTTTAAATGTTGTGCTACAACAAAAATATAATCTACTGTTTGACTGACCTCAGTTTGAACAAAGATTTAGTTTTAAATGGCTGAAACAGATTTACATGTCTAAAAACAACTCATCTCCTTTCATTTCATAACAGTTCTTGCAAACACCATTTCTTAAACCTTTACACCAGAATCAATTTGCATTAAAGTTATTCTGCCGGGGACATCATGACGTTTCTGCTACAGTTGCCCCCGACTGAACCAGAAAGGCTACAACTAGCCCAAGTTGCTATTTGCTCTCACAAATAACTAAACTGCTTTGTTAAGAACAGTTTAATGTAATTTGACAGTAATGTAAGGGCTTATAAAATAGAACTTGCATGATCTGATACTTTTGAGATTTGACGAGTGATTTTAAGATGATCCTCTTTGGTCTTGGCCATCTCAGACAGGTCATCTTATTTAAACTTATTTTCTCCAAAGTGACGTATTTCACAGAGATATCTACAAGATTTGTTTATAGCCTTTCCACAGACCACACAACAAACTTTACCTTGATTCCCTTTTATACAAACATAAAACTGGTCACTAAATAAGAGAAAACAGGCAGTATGACTTCAGAGGAAACTAGGAAGAGAAACAGGACAATCTGTTCAATCGGTGCGTTTCAATTTAGTGGCCAAAGTAAATGCAAACTAATTCCACTTTAAAAGCACATAAAATAAATGTGTGATCGCTCTCCGTGTCTGCTTAAATAAAAGCTAATAAATAAACATACAGTAAAACAATGACAGTGTAAAACATTCACCTTTTGAATGTTAAGAGCAACACAAATTTGATTTATATCCATTTTAGCCGATAAAGTTCATCACAACGAGGTGGAGGACGGTGCTGGCGAACAAGAAGTCGGCGAAGGCTCTCTCAGGGGAAATGGACAAGAAGTCTCCTTTGTTCTGAGGGTTGATCTGGATGCGAAGACAAACTGGAAAACACACAGGGGTGGTTCAGTTGTTTCTTCAATACACAACGTGCAGAAAGAGTTCAGCTAAAGAGCTAACATTTACAAATTTTGGTTTCATTCAGCTAAAAACTAACAACTTGTTTTGGAAAACCATTGTCACCACTTGTAGAAAAGGAATATTGTTTCCATCACAATAAGAGTAACTCATATCTGTGCGTTATTTATGTTTATTAGCTCTACAGTATGATGATCAATAAATCTTTAACGTACAGAAAAAACATGAATTAAAACCGTTTTGTGAAGCAAAGAATTCATAGAAAACCACATTAGTTACTAAACTTGTCAAAAACTAATTCCTAAAGAGTAATTTAATCCAAACTATGGAAAAATGAGATAGGCTCCTAGACCATGGGTCACGTTCCTCTTTTTGTTCTTTACTTTGACAAAAGCTTTAGGTAACCACTGCACTTTGTAACAGTTGTTTTAGGGAATAACAGTCCGGAAATAAGAAAGTAGTAAACATTCAAAGGAAATTTTTTAAAAACTTAAAAAAGCCTGAAAAGTGTTTTAAAAGAAAGTCTGACTTATTGGAAGCAAAGGAAAGAGATGAGAGGTAGATCCAGATTACAGGACATGTAAAACATGTTATTTGCTTTTAAATTGCACTTTTTAAAAAGAAGCATTGTGGGGATTTTTTGTGGCTGAAATCTGTTTAACCTATACACCATCTAAATTTGGTCTGTTGCCTTCATACATCTCCTCCTACATGTCTCTGCGTGAGTGCAGCTCTCAGGACATCATTACCTGCAGTGTTCCCTCAGTGCGGACTGAATGAGGCAAAAGGGCCTTTTCCTACTCCGCTCCTGGAATATCTTGCAAAAACATCTGAAGCTCTCGACCTTGACCTCTCTAAGTGGCTTTAAGAATCTGTTGGACTCCTGGCAAGGACCAATGCAGACATGGTCCTGTTTTTAGTTTTCTACATTCGCCTTATAATCTAGCCGTTTTGCTATTTTTGGCCATCTTATTTTAATTTGTATTAAAAAAAATAATCTGTACGCCTCTTTTATGATTGTCTATTGTTGTCATCACTCTTTGTTGAAATCAGGTCTCTCTTGTAAAGGAGTCCTCGGGGCTCAATGGGATTAACCTTCTAAATAAAGGTTGAATGAAATTTAAATATCTGCACTCAGCAAAAGTCACAAAACTGTCTTTAATCATTACATTTTGCTTTCAAATAGTCACACTTGAAATGACTCCATTTTAAATAGTCATCCTTAAGAAATTAATCTTTAGAAAAAGATTTGAAGTTTTCTTTTGGACAATGACAGCATTCTAAAGTCCAGTCTTTGTACTTGACCATCTACAGAGAATGTTGTCATAATCCTCCTGTCAAGTGTTTAAATCCTAATCAAATTAAATTTAGGATATAAGCTGATTTAATGTCTACATTTACAGAAACAGTTCATACCAAAACGTATTTTTTGACAGTTTGCTGCTATTCTGATATGCAAATATTAGTATTAATATTAATTAATGAGTTAATGAGTTACAGCAACATTTGATTTCCCTTTGGGATTAATAAAGTATTTTTGAAATGAATTAAAAACTGGTGTACATATTATGTAGTGTATTATCTTTAGAGCAACAAGGAAATTGCCCAAAAAATATACAATTTTCTTAACTCTTTTAGCCATTTATGTGTAGAAAATTAAGACTTTTGTTAAGACTGTGCATGTCCATTCTGAAATAATGGAAGATGAAGTTTAGCTTAGCTTGCTAACATAGTTAGCTTTTTTTCTGCACGCACTAGAGGCCACGAGACTAAAGAAATCAAAACTGTGGAGCAACGTGTAAAATTTTTAGCTGCCAATACATTAATCTGCTTTTTTTTTTTTACCTGCAAGAATGAATGAGCCCACGCAGGAGATAAAGCCTGACAGAAAGCTGTTGAATGGGAAGGTTCCGACGAGCAGACAGTAGAGGAACTGCAGCGCTCCTGTTAGCAAGATGTACAGCAGATACGCGTCCACCACCTTCAGCTTGGTGGGCGTCGTGCTACTGTACTCCTCTAGAAACCGAGAAATAACAGACAGCACCGAGTTGGACATGATTCTTCGGTTAAAATGTATATTTCTCTTGGTAAGATTGGCACAACTCCTCTTCCTCAGTCAAATCAGTGACGTGTCCTGATTAACCGGAAGCGGCGTTGGTGCAACACAGAATATGCTCCGAGTAAGCTCCAACGGCTGTTTGGCGTTCGACCACGGAAGAGCAAAGATGAGTAAATAAAGTAAGATGATCTACTCCATCTACTCTATTCAATTTCAAGCTCGCTTTTCCTTTATTTTTTTATTAGATCTTATGTACAGAAAATTTGCTAATATAGGAGAAGAATAATGAAGAAAAAATAATTTAGGGGGCATGTGTATTTTTTTCAGTTTAGTTCAATCTATCCTTTACAGTTTGCCCATTTTTTCTTAGAGTGGATACACCTTTAATATAGACGATCTTTGCATGTTGTCGGCTGTCGTAGGTTACATGTTACAAAACAAGGAAAGCCTTTAAAGCAACTTCAAAACGGAGACGGGACAATTGGTTGTCAGACTTTTTTCACCTGAATGTAGTAACCGAAATGTGTCAACTAATGGATCCAGCTACAACCACAGCTCCCATGCAAAACGACTGTGAGACAGAGTGAGTATATTTTTCTCATTATTTAACACCAGACAGACGACTGTACACCGAGTACACTTCTGAAGAGACTTTAGCTGATGTCAACGTGTAACTGAAGTGCTGTGTCATTCTAGCTGAAATGATCTAAAAATGTTATATGTGGAACAAAACTGTAAATCACTACTATGATGGTTAGTATATTTGTACAAATGGACTCCTGTATAATATTAAATATGATACAGTGTTCATTGTCAGCAATAGGGATAACACAATATATTCTACATGACTTTCTATGTAAGTCTGTCAGAGTAATGTTAAATAACTAGTGGCATTACAAAATAATATATGAACAGTGTGACACATTGTTCATATAATATTTTGTAATGTCCGTGGACTGAATGGAAGTGGAGCAGAGGTTAGTGACACTACTCTGGGTGACTCAGCAAAACTGAGCTGAACTGGTGATTGTAGAAACAGGTACATGTGAGTCTTTACCTGGTCCGCTGATGGTTGAGGGAGAACACTGAGACTGGTCCTTTTGTACCTGCTCACTCACCAGGTGGGTTTGGAGAGTCTGCAGTTGAATTTGAGTCCAGCTGAGCTCAGTTAAATCCATTCAACCTTTATTTATACAGGTTAATCCCAATGAGCCTCGATCACTCTTTGTTTCAGGTTGGAAACTAAACAAAACTGGTGAGATCACAGTTACATTGTTTGGTTATAGAATACTAATAAAGTGTCATAAATAATGAGGATATGATCTGTATGTTGGTGCTGACATGCTATGAGCCTTGTCTTGCATGATGGCTTTGAAGTGTGACTCTTATCTATGTAGCCTTCCTGTGTGTGCCATGCAAATAATGGTAACGCTGGCAATGCTGGCTCTAACCTTGACCAGAAGTATTAGTACTATGCATTCAGTGTGTGCTGGATAGTACAAGAACGATCTGTTATCGCATCATTCTTTACATGCCTTCGACTCTGAACAGGTCGAGTTCACTCTGGAGCTGGTGGCCTTCTTGGAGTCCAACCTCCATGTCCCTGTTGAAGACTGCAGAGTCCAAAATTCTTGCCTGTAAGAGCGTGTTGACGTGCATTCATGTTGGGTGATTACGTAACCACAGAGTGTTGATTTAGAAATGTAACTAATGCCTGTCACTATTCGTTAAAGGTATTCAGAATAACATTTGGGCCAGATTTGTGACTCTTCCAAGCCAGGACCGAATATGGACTTTATCTGTCAACAAGGCAGCTTCAAAACCTGCAGAACAAGGTACTCGGTTCTAAAATAATCTTTTCTGTTTCCATGAAGGAAACAGGTGTGAACCCATAGAGCAGAGATCACCAACACAATTTGCTCAGTGGCCAGAATTTCAGGCTTCAATTAAATACTTGTAAATTATTTTCCCAAGCCACGCAGAGCCACGGTATAATCATCAAAGAGTTGCATGCGGCTTCGGAGCTGTGTGTTGCCGACCCCTGTTCTACCCCATACTACTGTAGGATGGATGTGGCTCACTGGCTGTAGATATGATGATAACTGCTTCAGCATCAATCCTCTTAACCCGCTTCTTTCTTTTTAGGTCATGGGGGGTTATTGGTGCCCATAGCCAGCAATCACTGTGCGAGAGACGTGCTACACCCTGGACGGGTCATAACTCCATTACACGGCCACATGGAGACAAATTACACTAATTTGCCTAAAGTACATGTTTTAGATCTGTGGGAGGAAACCGGAGTCCCCTGAGAAAACTCTTGCTTTTGTGTAGAGAACATGCAAATTTCACCAAGAAAGTTCCCTGACCGGGATTCGATCCGATGACCTTCTTGCTGAGAGGGAACAACTCTACTAACTGAGCCACCATGCCTGCTTTAGTAAGCATGATAGTAATATTTTCTTTTCCTGTTTTTCCCTCTAGCGTCTAAAACTCCCCTAGTGATGGTTCATGGCTTTGGGGGAGGCGTTGGACTGTGGATCAGGAACTTGGATGCACTGAGTTGCTCACGGACCGTCCACGCCTTTGACCTGTTGGGCTTTGGCAGAAGTTCCAGGCCTCACTTCCCCTCAGAGGCTGCCAAGGCAGAAGAACAATTCGTTAACTCTATTGAACAATGGAGGCAGTCTGTAGGAGTGGAGAACATGATCCTGCTGGGCCACAGCTTGGGAGGCTATCTTGCTACCTCATACGCAATTCAGCACCCTTCTAGGTAATCATGACGATGAGATGATTGAACCATATTGACAACTTTACATCAGGTCAAGATTTTTGTTATTAGTACTGAGAGGTGTGAAGAATCTTGTGCGGCTGCATAGCCCTTTTTCTCATAAAATGTAGTATCTTAGCAGATGTTCTGAATTTATTGCTCACTAACAATAGCAAGCCAATATGGATCCAAAAACATGCTAAAACCATGATAACACCACAATGGTGTTTAACATACCAAATACCATTCTTGAGCTGGAAAACAGTGGTTTTCTTCTTCTTCTTCCAAACAGACTTCACACTCATACTAAAAAGTTTACAGTTTTACTTTACCAGCAGCTCTCTCGTCTGCCAAAGCCTTGCCAAAGTTGTACTCTCTGTGCTTCTAATACTTTTGCTCAAAAAGTTTATTACTTTAGGTCAGCTAGTCTCCATGGTAAGTTAAGAAAACCCACTGATGACTGCAGGTTCAATTTAGCTTTAAGCTATTTAAGTGGTATCAGTTCTTTCATCTAACTCTCATAAAAGAAAGTCAATTTCCCAAGACATTTTCCTGCAAATAACATTTAAAGACACTAAAAACATTGTTCATGTGCAATATCTGAAAATTATTTTTACTGCAGTGTTATGGTCTCGCAGCAATCAGGTGGAATGTGTGAAGAATTTTTACCAAGCTCATTAATCACACAATAAATTCTCTGCTCTAGCTAAAAGACACACACTAAAAACACTGTTACTGCTCAGTAGCTCTGTTAGTTTTAAAGGTGGCTTAGTCAGGTGTCTTTGAAGCCATCGCTGAAGAAATTTAGCTATTGCTTTTAGACTCAGCAAGCAGCAGTTTGATCAAGCAAGCAGTTTAATCAATAGTGTGAAGGTGATTAGTGTGAAGCATAAATTTGTAGTTTAGCATGATTCACTTCCAGAAGAAGGGGTGCACACAAAAAGCTGTTAATATTTGTTCAATATAGGATGGAAAAGAAAGGTTTTAGCAATTTAAAATTCCCAAGATATTTATATAAAAACAAACACATTTGAGTGAAGCTGATGTTTGTGGATTTATGGATAGTAATAAATACTGGAACTGTTCTATTGCACCCAATGTGACCCCTTGTCCTATATTGAGATTCACAGCCAGCTAAACTCTTCTGTCACTTCCTTCAAGGAACAGGCACACGATGTATTTGATCAGGATTTAATGCAAAGTGTGAAACTGAAACATTACAAAATACAGAAAAATGATCAATATACAAATCATGGCTACAGAAATAAAATAACCATTTCCTTTTCTGTACAAGGCACATTAAATGGTTAATTTAAATTTAGCAGTCTTATCACGCAAACGCAAAAAATGGTTGTGTTGGCCTACGCGACTATGCAATATTGCGTGGACATCGGGGGAAGTTCCCGAGGATTGGCAGACCGGGGTGGTGATCCCCCTATTCAAAAAGGGGGACTGTAGAGTGTGTTCCAACTACAGGGGGATCATGCTCTTAAGCCTCCCTGGTAAGGTCTACTCGGGGGTTCTGGAGAGGAGGGTCTGTCGGATAGTCGAACCTCGGATTCAGGAGGAGCAGTGCGGTTTTCGTCCTGGTCGTGGAACACTGGACCAGCTCTACACTCTCAGCAGGGTCCTGTAGGGTGCGTGGGAGTTTGCCCAACTGGTCTGCATGTGCTTTGTGGACTTGGAGAAGGCGTTCGACTGCATCCCTCAGGGATCCCTGTGGGGGGTACTCTGGGAGTATGGGGTACCAGGTCTTTTGATACGGGCTGTTAGGTCCCTGTATGACCGGTGTCAGAGCCTGGTCCGCATTGCCGGCAGTAAGTCGGGCTTGTTCCCGGTGAGAGTTGGACTCCGCCAAGGTTGCCCTTCGTCATCGATTCTGTTCATAACTTTTATGGACAAAATTTCTAGGCGCAGCCAAGGTGTTGAGGGGATCCTTTTTGGTGGCCTTAGGATTGCGTCTCTGCTTTTTGCAGATGATGTGGTCTTATTGGCTTCATCAGATCGTGATCTACAGCTTTCACTTTAGCGGTTCGCAGCCGAGTGCGATGCGGCCGGGATGAGGATCAGTTCCTCCAAATCCGAGGCCATGGTCTTGAGCCGGAAAAGGGTAGAGTGCCTTCTCCGGGTCAGGGAGGAGGTCCTGCCCCAAGTGGAGGAGTTCAAGTGTCTTGGGGTCTTGTTCACGAATGAGGGAAAAATGGAGTGTGAGATCGATAGGCGGATAGGTGCAGCGTCTGCAGTGAAGCAGGAGCTGTACAGGTCTGTCATGGTGAAGAGAGAGCTGAGTCAAAAGGCGAAGCTCTCAATTTACTGATTGATCGACATTCCTACCCTCATCTATGATCATGAGCTTTGGGTTGTGACCGAAAGAACAAGATCTCAGATACAAGTGGCCGAAATGAGTTTCCTCCGCAGGGTGTCTGGGCTCTCCCTTAGAGATAGTGTGAGAAGCTCAATCATCCGGGAGAGACTCAGAGTAGAGCCGCTGCTTCTCCACGTCAAGAGGAGCCAGTTGAGGTGGCTCGGGAATCTGGTTAGGATGCCTTCTGGACGCCTCCCTGGTGAGGTGTTCCGGACACGTCCCACCGGGAGGAGACCCAGGACACGCTGGAGGGACTATGTTTCTCGGCTGGCCTGGGAACGCCTCAGGATTCCCCCAGAGGAGCTGGACCAAGTGGCTGGGGAGAGGGAAGTCTGGGCCTCCCTACTTAAGCTGCTACCCCCACGACCCGACCCCGGATAAACGGAAGAAAATGGATGGATGAATTGATGGATGGCTGGTAGCAGCAGATTTTATCCTGTGGTTGTTTCACTTCCAACATGTACTAATCTCCATCCATTAAGTGAAATTCAGTATGCTTACTTTTTGTTTAGGTTAACGGAACATGATTCAAGATTCTGTTGGGATAATGAAACACCATTCACCACTTACTACTTAATTATCAGTGGTGATAAATTTAAATCATAGAAGTGCTTTTATTTGCCTGATGAGTGTTGTTTTGTTCAAATATGCAAATGCTGTATGTGTAATTATTTCACAAAATACAGTCAACAGTCAATTTATTTGATTCCTTATTTTGTTTAATTTTTTAACAAAATTTTTGTCCTTTTTTTAACAGCAAACAAATACTGAAAGTTTTTCTGTTTTTGAAGATTATGAAAGTAATGTCAAAATATACATGACTTTGGTGCTGAAACAAAACTGTCAGACCTGCAGTCTGAATATCAGTAGCTGAAACATCAAACTATATTATCATTCTAGCAATATAACATCAACTATATTATATTGCTAGAATACTTCTCTTATTGCCAAAACTACACAGGTAGGTAACACGACAGGAATGTTACATCCGGGATGTACCCTTGTCCATCGGACAAAATGCAGATAATCAGTGTATCTGTAAAGCACAACAAAATAGATGAGTAAATAGATTTTAAGAGAATGGTTCTTGATTTTCACTATGAAATAAATGTGTACTGGTGGTTAGACTCATGCAGATTCTGAGGCAGCTGATTTGCATCTGCATGATATTCCACTGTAAGCGCAGTGATATTCCACATGATATTCCACTATATATATATATATATATATATAATTCTCTGTAAGCTGTCTGCAGGATCCAAACTTTCAGGCATACTGTAGGAAATCATGGGTGTTGCTTGATATTTGTTTTTCAGCCAAAAGTTGTCATGACATTTAAAACTTGAGGAACTTCTTGACAGCACATGCACTGTGTCACGCTTGGTGTTACATCGCAGTTGCTGCAAGTACACCTGTCATGGGAACACATTCATTCATTCAACCTTTATTTAGACAGGTAAATCCCATTGAGCCTTGAGGACTCATTTACAAGAGAGACCTGATTAACACAATATAAGTCTAAGAAATAATAAATGTATATATTTAAAGAAAAGCTTTTCTATATAATAATATGAAGTTTTTAAAAATTACACACAGGTAGTGCTTTCAAATCTTGAAACATCCGTTGATTCTTTATCTTATATTTACAGGTATATATAATATATATCAAATTTATTGAAAGAAATGTCAGATTCTTTGCTGCTCTTATCTTTTGTAGCAGCAGTCAATTTACGTGCCAGCGTTCCCCTTGAGGGCAGCCAGCTTGGGACCCAAAAGTCCCAGGTTCGATCCCCAGTCACTACACATCACGTGGCGTCTCTGGGCAGCACACCTCATCCCCAAAATGCCCCCCGGGCGCTTTCAATAGCTGCCCACTGCACCACCTGGTGGTGGATGGGTTAAATGCAGAGACTAATTTCGCCATTGTATGGAAACATGCAGTGCTGACATTGTGATGACATTATTATTATTATTATTATTATTATAAAACTGTGCAACAAAATCTCAATAGATTAATATGAATGTGCTTTTTTAGTGACATATATGGACATACAACTGTTCATTTCAGCAGAATGAATTTACTTTTAACATTATTTTATCAATGTTTTACTTCCATATATATATATTTATTTCTTTTTTTTTATTTTTTTTCACAGAACATTTGATGTCACAGGCACTTTAAACAACTGTGCAAGTGTGTGAAAAGACAAATTTAATTTGCATTGTCTACTTTGATAATTGAGCATGGATCAGGACATTTAGTTTGCACGAGTTCCTTGTATTTTTAGATAACTTTCTTTGATTAATTTCCTTGTTTTCCTAGTGGGTCTTTTCCACATGTAAAAAAAAAAAAAAGTCAGCTGATGTGTTGCACTTTGTCTTTGCAGAGTGTCACATCTTATCTTGGTAGACCCCTGGGGCTTCCCTGAGAGAGCAAAGCCACAGACCAATGAGAGTCAGGACACAGAGGTGGTGAAGAGAATGTCCCCTCCACGATGGGTGAAAGTTATTGCATCGGTTGTTTCCCTCTTCAACCCACTGGCAGTGATCAGAGCAGCAGGACCGTGGGGTAACATTCAAATCTATATCTGCTCGGGCTTTGTGACAATAAAACACTCTCCTGTCCTCTCACAGTGTATCTTTTATTGATTCAGGTCCAGGCTTGGTGAACAGATTCCGTCCTGATTTCAAAAGAAAGTTTGAAGATCTGTTTGATGACGACACAATGACGCAGTACATCTACCACTGCAATGCACAGAATCCAAGGTACGCCTCAGCACTACATGTCCCAGAACGCTCTTTGACAAAAAGCTGAAGAAAAATATAAACAAATAGAAAAGACTAAAGCATCTAGAAGAAAAGATCCAATTTGATCCACAAGCAGGCAAGCACTAGATCAGTAAATTATTTGATTTGTAAGGTGGTGACACTTCTACAATGGCCACCTGAGGGGATAACTGTTCGCATAACAAGCGGAAGGGATGGAGTTATCATACCATACCATTTTATTTAAAGAGCGCTTTAAACAGCGACAGGGCCAACCAAAGTGCTGTACAGACAGAAACAAACAGGCAAAGCACACAGCAACATATAATGTAAAATCAAAAATATAGAAACAAAATAATAGCAGATAAGAACATAATGATTAACACAGTGTGACGCATACAGGTTCAACACAGATCATACAGTGTTGAAAGCCAGGGAATAGTAGTGGGTTTTTAAACGGTAGGTGGTAGTTGGATCATTTAACAGTCTGCCAAAACAATAAGTGAATGTCGGCAGACGCAGATGGCATCTAGTAGATGTATTAGACAGCATCACCTGCACTTTATGGATTTTCCAAGGGTAGTGAGTTTGCAGAAGGGTGAATGGTTGTGTCATGCAACTGCTTGGCATGTGGAAAAAGTTGGTTAATGAGAGCACCCACACATGTCATGACGCTTTTGGTTGCCCAAAACAAATCACACAATGGGAGTAATGTTGTTCGACCTCAGGCGACCCCGATGGCACAGTGCTACATAAGTGATGCATCTGCATATTTTATCCCTCATGAGACAACACCCTCGTATAGTCTTTCAACTACACATTGTATGTCTATAGTCTGCTTGTGACATGATGAGGTCCTCCTGTGGCCAGCCAGGTACCCAGTTTAGTTTTTCTGAAATGCATATATAAGAAATTAGCTTGGACTCTGACCCAGTGTTGATCCGTCAGATCTTAAGGACCATTACAACAGCTGTAGACCAGCGTGTTGCAGAAGAGGATACAATGGCTGTATGACTCGGTTCTATCATAAACCACACTTTGTATTTAAATTCAAAGGGGTGCCACACTCTACAGCAATGGAACCAGCAGTGTGCCCATACTGCCAGCTCCAGCATCCTTTTGATCTCATGTTGTAACTAGAAGTACTCGAAGAGCACTCACCTCCACCAAGACCCTAGGGTCACTCTTGCAGTAATATCTTGTGCAAAGACAGACAAGAATCCTTTAAAAAATACCTGGACTCAGATGGTGATCCAGATCACCACCAAAATTTTATAATTTGTTCTTTGTGGCAATGTCAGAGAATTGTTTAGTCAAAGGTTATGGATGTTTTGATTGTGCTTTATTATTGTGGCTGAGAACGTATTTCCCCTCTGCCATGAGAACAAGGAGCTCGGTTGTTTCCCAAAACAGCCAAACCGTCGCCCAAAACACCCTCTTATCTCGAGCTGAAGGATGAGCCCATGAACCATATGTTTGTGCCATGCGAGACTACGTCTGGCTTCAGGAACACCTGCTGGACTATGTTGAACTCTGCTGAGCTGAGGATGTTATAAAAGTGAGCAGATAACGTGGTTCGTAGCTCATTTCTGTGACTGGTTTTTGTGGGTACACATTTATGTATGTTCATGTTTATAATCTGTCCTGAAATCTGACCTTGCAATAAGCGCCAGTTAAAAAAAAATCTTCACTTGCTGTGAGAGTGTTTTATTATATATTTTTTTTAGTTAAATATCAGAGAATGAGAAGGTTTCTCCAACATTTCCTGAAGATTTTATGAAAATCCGTTCACAACTTTTTGAGTAATCTTGTGCAGACAGACAAACCAACACTACCGAAAACCTACCCTCCTTGGTGGTGGTAATTATTGCAGTGTAGTCACACGGCTTTTCAACAACGTGAGCCATTTCCTTTTCGGCCGAGTCCTAAAACTTTTTATTTGTCAGTGAGTGTTCCTAAATAAAGAAGTCATGTTTTCCAGTATCACTTTTCTCTTTCCTTTCTTCTTCCCAGTGGGGAGGTTGGTTTCCGGGCCATGTCAGAAACCCTGGGCTGGGCCAAGAGACCTATGCTGCAGCGTGTCCACCTTCTGCCCCCCTCTATGCCCGTCTCCATGCTGTATGGAGCACGGTCCTGGGTGGACAGCTCGTCTGGGGACAGAGTTACTGAGATCAGAGGCCAAGCCCACACCAGAGTGCTGGTGAGTGGACACAAACTTTTCCACACAGAAGGATAGGATGGTAGTTGTGGCCACCAATGAAACTATAGCAATTAAAAATCTCAACAAGATGATAAACACACATATCCAGAGAATAATATCAAATTATACAATCATTACGTAAATGGCAGACTTGAATTAAGGGACAGAATAAATTAGTATAACTGATGATTGGCATTGATTAATTTTCTGAACTGTCTCCCTCTGCAGCTCATAAACCATGCCTCACACAATGTGCATGCTGATGAACCAGAACAGTTTAACCAAGTGGTTGAAGAAATCTGTCAATCTGTGGACTGACCATGTGTGATCTAAAAGGACTTCTGTGTTGGCAGTTCATCATGAAGGTCGCAGCTCTGCACCTCTTCAATGTTCTGCTCTGAGGCATTTTCATTTGAATGTAATTATGGTTTCAGTTTTCCTGTCCTAAGTCCATACATTAACATTTGATAAGTGGTGTTTGTACTATAATGATTAAATATGTTTATATCATGAAGATGTTCCTATATTCTGCTCACACAAAAAATAGTCAAATTTATATATTTATCCAAAAGGAAAGAATTGTACTGTTTTTGTTATTTAAGAAATGATAAAGATGAATCTTTGAGGTTGAACTGAATCTACAGTTAAACTCACTTTAACTTGTGCCTAATGCAGTAAATCCTTTTGCATGTCTTTTATCTGTTTTATGGTTTGTTTGTTTTCTCTAAATCACACAAATGGTTGTGGTGCCCCAATAGAGTCAGTAAAAAGTTTATTTTTGTAACTTTTTTCCTGTCTGCTGTGAAGTAGACATTGGATCAAATGTAAAACTTTTTACTAGAAAATCAAGAAAATAAACTTGGAGGTAATTTGTTCTCGCAACATATTTACATGATTTTTACCTTTGTAAACAGAGCCTTAAAGGGTTAATGCAAATCTTTTGAAATGAGGTTCTGTAGAAAGTTTATGAAAAATTAACATCTTACCTGTTATTGATAGATTTTTGTACAACCCTAGTTTGAACAATCAGACTGAGTCTGACTTGAACAAGCTAACATCTAGTTCAAATGGTTCTTAACCTAAGTGAACCCTTGTTGTCATAAAACAATTCCAATCAAAAAAATCAATGGTTCATGCAGAGGCTGTTTTATTAACACTTTTTTTTACACTGCTGTTATTTTCCCATTAGTTTATTCTAACAAAAATCTTAAGAGATTCCTGCTCGAAGCATCCCCAGACTGCAACAGAAAAGTTAGCAGCTAGCCACTGCTGCCACAATTATTACTTTCATGTAAATGATGGCTGTAATAGTAGTGTACATTTTTATAAAGTAGCTTTAGCATAAAACGCTATAAATGTTTTGAAACTGAAGTTGTTTAAGAATGAGACAATCCAAGTTTTCATTCTGATCAGAAATAATTTCTACATATATCTAAAAGATCTGAGTGATTAATGATCACAGTGTTTCCCATGTTTGCTTTTATTTACATTCAAAAACAATATATGGTACCTATCATAAATTAAATATAAAATGTGTGCTTTGAACCTCTCTGGGTTTTTTTTACAAGTGTTTTGCAAAATAAGAGAAATTTGGAAACAAGAAAGAAAATTATAATTTTAAGAGGCTTTATAAACTGTTTATTATAGATTTATAAGGTTGTTAAACATAAATAACTCATAACAAACCCAGTTATTCCCTGCTGGCATAGACTGCAAACTATGGCACTGATTACAAATGTGAGAGCAGGTTGAGATGGAGAAGATTTATGAACAGTCTGTTCCCAGTCAGCTGAAGTAGAAGTTCAGCTTTACACATAAAACATGCCCAGAGAAAAATATGGGGTCCCACAGGAGTTGTTTCATCCAAAAACCCATTTTTGTGACATGAATATTGTTGTAGCTGTGAAATCATAGGGTACAAGTAGTGCATCTGTCCTTGATGATTATAACTGCATGTCTACCAAGTTTTAAAATCATCCATTATCAGATCATCAAAATGTAAAGTTACACACCTGCATTGGATTTCCATTTGCCATACCAGTATAGACTTCTTTTTAATAATTCATGGGTTAAGAAAATGTTTTATTAGAGACACAACATCGTTTATACAAAAATACATTAGCTAGATAAATAACATGGTAAATACTTAGTTTTCTTTACATTTTAACATTGAGTGTTAATTAAATGACTAGAACCAGGAGACGTTTAGGTACGTATTAGAAAATAGTTTTTGTTTGTTGTCTGCTTCCATTTACATCTATTTTACACAGATTATGGACAAACATGATTATTACAAAGTTACAACTATAGGAAGGCATTTTGCATTTAGTAACTCAACAAAAGTGTCGGAGTTGGTGCTTTTTTTTGTAAAGATCTCATTAAACATGAAACATTTCTCCTTATAGCTGCATAATTTTCAGACGTACAAAATGTATTGTTTTTGTGAACCAGTCTGTAAAAATGTAGGTATTTAAATTTTGTCACATTTTATCAATGTGGGTGATTCAAAGAATTCCCTTTCACAAACGCAAATCCTCCATTTTAGCCATGTAATAATCATTTTGTCAGCACTTCTCGCTGTGACACAAATTAATATGATAATAAAATGTTCTCCCTTTGCACCTTCACATGCTTTGTTCGGTGGTTTTAAATTGCACTGGTTTTAGAACATACAGTAACTTCAGTACTTAAAAAGCCTGCTGTGCATTTCACAACTGCAAGTCAGAAATATGTGTTTATATTTAAAGTGATAAATAATTACAATATTAATACTGATAATACAACAATTAGTGATGGTATTTTCACATTACAGAATATCAAAAGTTCAGAGTTTGGTATAAAACAAAGCAGGACTTTCTAACATACAAGAATTTAACCCACTATATGTTTAGAAACTCTCAGCCTAAAACTTCAAATAAAAAGTGATGTGAGGGAAGCTGTGCCTTCTGATTTCCTCTCACTGTTCAAGAACGACAATGTCAGCCACTCCGTGCACTTGAGTGAGCTGTTTACAGTCGAGAGATGCGACCAGCTTCCTGGGCCCGGGTTGGTATGGGATGAAGCGTTCTGTCAGTGTCACTGTGGCGTGACTGCCAACATCGCTGGGATAGAGAAGAGGCAGCACGTTACACTCGAAGGGAAAATAATGGAGAAAGGAGACGGAGAAGAGCAACAGAAGATGAAGTCTTACCCTACGATCACTTCATGGCCCTTCTGAAGGCCCAGGCCCTCCACTCTGAACACAACGTCCTTCAGTGTACATGGTAATGGGTTGGTGAAGTTAATCTTGGCTGACATTTCCTTCCCTACCACAGCATCACCCAGAGGCTGCCAACAAAAAAAAAGAAAGAAGTCAATTCATTTACAAAGCACAACCAAAGTGCTGAACAACGACAATAAAACAAAGCAGAGATATGAACGTCAATAAAACAATTTTTAAAAATTCAGAAAAAGTAAACGGAGAACATAAAGTGATAAAATACTAAACCAACTCACAATGAGTTAAATGTCAATGAGAATGTGTTTTTAAAAGGGGTTTAAAAGCAGGAAGTGAAGAGGCCTGTATAATGTTGGAGGACAGATTGTTCCAAAGTTTGGGAGCCACAACTGAAAAAGTTCAATCTCTGAGCTTCAACCTACAGTTTTCGGGACAACAAAAAGCAGCTGATGATCCCAGTGCCCGCGGACAAACATAAGGATGAAGTCAGAGATACAAGGGTGTAAGGCCATTTAGGTTTTAAAAATCTATTCAGTGATGCACAAGGAGCCAGTGAAGTGAGGACAAGATGAGTGACATGTTCTCTAACCGATGAGTTCCAGTTAAGAGACAAGCAGCAGAGTTTTGGACAACCTGGAGATGTGAAAGTGGGACCTGACTAACCCCAACATAAAGTGGTCAAGTCGGGTTGTGTTGTGATAAAGACATGGATTGTGTTCTAGCTCTGGGCAACACTGACGTGAGCTTTTTAAGAAACTAAGACAATGAAGAGAGACTAAAAATATGCTACAGATTCCAATCTTGTACAGTAAGATCATGTTCAGACATTAATTAGTTGCCTACCGTGATATTGAGGTCAGGTGTTCGGAGTCTGAAGCTTGTCTGGTTGGCTAGCACTTGCTTGGTTTCAGTGACTCTTCCACAGAGGGATAGCATCAGCGCTGCCTGATCCACCAACTGGTTCTTGTACTGCTGGTAGGGTAAGATCCATTCAATGTTTTTTTCTGTGTGAAGAAAAAAATTAAGTGTTGAGATAAACATTCAAATACTTGAAATTTTGTTGAATGGACTATATTTATATAGCATCTTTCTATCTTATCAAGACACTCAAAGCACTTTACAACACAATATGTGCCTCATTTACCCGTTCATACAGCACTCTTACTAGATCTGTGCAAAGCTAATTGAACAAATCATTCTAAAGAGACTAATCAGAGCTTTATCACATTCATACACTGATGGGACACATACAGTAAGAGGCAATGAGGGGTTCAGTGTCTTGTCCAGGGACACTTCGGCATGTGACTGTGGAGGAGTGGTGGCGCAGAGGTTAGATAGGTGGGCCTGTGATCCGAAGATCGCCGGATCATGCCCCGGCCCCGACAACATCAAAATTGTGGGTGGGGTAAGTGAAGCACCCACACTTGCCCCCATCCTCATTCGCCCCACTCTGGGCCCATGAGCAAGGCCCTTAACCCCCATCTGCTCCCTAAACAGGTCTCTCTTGAAAATGATATCTCGTGGCTCAACGAGACTACCTGGATAAATAAAGGGTAAATGAAAAAAAAAGACTGCTGGTGGATTTGAACCCCCAACTCTTGCCTTGAAGGACGGCTGCTCTAGCCACTCAGCCACAGCCGCCCCTACGTTAATTGAGAGTTAGATGTGAAGATTTAAGTAATCCTTTAGGCCTTGTTTGGACCTGGCACTAATATTTTCATGGGTGATTTGAACAAGTCTGATAGAGAGCATTCACACCTGGCAATTAAATCTCCATCTCAATGCAACAGGTCCAAGACAGAAACTCAGACATCCCTCTCACTCTCTCCTCCTGTGTGACCCCAAGGCGTTCCCAGACCAGAAAAAATACACTGTCCTTCCAGTGTGTTATGGGTCGGGCTCGGGGCCTCTTAGGGATGTGCCCAGAAAACCTCCAAAGGGAGGCGTCTTGAAGGCATTCCTAATCAGATAACTGAACCATTTCAACTGACTCATTTTGATCCAAAAGAGCAGCAGCTCCACTCTGAGCTCCCCTTGGAGAATGGAGCTCCTCACCTTCTCAGTAAACCACATTACTAGACAGTGTGGCACCTCTAAGGATGAGCCAGGCAACCCTACAAAGAAAGCTCATTTTGGCCGCTTGTATCCTGGATCTTAAGCCCCAAGTATACTGCCGCGTACGTACGCGTGTACTGTACGCAGAGGGTTCAGACTTTGTACTCCAGCGTACACCCTGAGCAGCTGCAGAGCAGCTTCACATACAAGGGGCGTTTACCTTCGGGACAAATTGAGGTTGCCGATTGGTCATTTGACACGCCTACTGGATTGATTGACATGTCGGAAAAAAGAAAAAAGCTAGCGCTGGCAGCCTCAGCCTCAGCCGCAGCGGAGTTCTGTGTTTATATGTTGTTAATAAAAAGATCTAAAAATTTTTTTAAAAAAAACAGAGCGCTGGCTCTACAGCCCACACATCAGACCAGTCCACCAGGAAATCTCCAGACCCTCCCGCAGCCATGCTGGACCTGAGTTTAATTCGCTTGTGACAAATTCCTTCATTTCTCACCATTTCAGTCATGGTATCAACGGAGGTGGAAGAGATCACTGCCTCTTGGCAAAAAAACACAAGAAAAGGCCAGATCAGGGATGAAGAAGGGGAATTTAATACATTGGTGTCGCATACAAAACAGTTCATCGCTGGGCAGTTTATTGTGCAACACCGCGTATGCGTATGCGTATGCGGTTGTAAAAATTTGAGCTTTGCACGGACATGCCCTGGGGGGTACGCTCGTACTTCCGTATACGTACGTGCGTACCTCTGCGTATGGACGTACGCGGCAGTATACTGGGGGCTTTATTCTTTGGGCCATGATCTAAACCTCATGATCAAGGAACAGCCCTAGCAGAGCTCAACTCATACCAAGAAATTGACTTGACTGTGTGCCAAGAATGCAGACAAGGCTCCTGCTTAGATTATACAGGGAACAGATAGCCCTTAAACCACATCCATCCATTCTTCCTTCCTTCCTTCCATCCATCCATCCATCCATCCATCCAACATCTTTACTCATTTTTTTATTTTTCAGGACTCAGGGGTCACTGGTGCCCATGTCCAGCAGTCACTGTGCAAGAGGAAGGGTGCCCTTTGGACAGGTCTCCAGTCCATCACAGGACCACATAGAGACAAACGAGACAAACAACCATTCACTCTCTCACTCAAGACAATTTGGAGTTTTCAACTAGCCTAACATGCAAAAGACCCCCAAGGACTCTGTGAGGTTGACGCAGCAGGACACAGGACGTTTGAGGTAAGTCGTATTGTGTCACTTCCTGTTTTCTCTGCTGGTAACTGGAGTAATTTGTTTGCTCGTGTAATCTTTTAGTTTTACAATATTATCTGTAGCATTTAACATCTTTTATTTTCTCAAACTTACAGTAACTTACTTTTACTTTTTCAAGTTATTTTTGTTTTTAATCATATATTACTATAAATATATAAAAGAGGACAATAAAAATCAAACCTTCATTGGGCAAAAGCTCTATGGGTATTTGGTCCTTCTTGATGGCGTTCTTCAGCACACCGGTGTAGTGCATGACAGCTACCTGGCTGTGCAGAGTGGTCTGACGGGGCTCTGAGCTCAGGTTCTTTACCACAATGCTCAACTTGGCATCACAGCCCATCTTGGGCCCCTCGCCATCTATCTTCACTTCCACATGCACATCTTCTGCTGCAGGAGCACAGTAGACGTCTGGCTTGCTGCCATAGCGACTTGCTGTTTCTACAGAAATGCGTTCCTCCTCTGAATCTGGAGGAAAGAAGAAGGAGGAAGTGAGTGAACCACTTTCTTTGATTTCAGGATTTATTAAAGACTACAAGAGCTCCAGTACACCGTATATAAGGTTAACAAAGATACATATTTTCATATTGTAAAAGAATGATTAATGGATCAAATGACAAAATGTACAAGTTGCTGATATTTCTGTCAGCTTTTATAGCTTTGATTTACTTTATAAGTGCAGTAAATCAAGTTATGAGCCCTGTACCTTCTGGATGTTTGTACAGAAGTGTGATATCTTCTCGTTCATCAGAGCCCACAGCTTTGGTGCTGATGCAGTGGCCGACAGCTTTCTTCTCGCTGAAGATCTGGCTGAATGTACCATCTTGATTCCTTTTCCAGTAGATTTTATCACTGTTGACCTGACAAAGAGATACCAAATAGGACCACACCTTCTAAAGCTTGATTGTACAGCTAAAACTAAGATTTTTTTTTTAATTGCTTACTTTTGTCAAAATCAAACGTTATAAACCCCTGCACCCTTAAAGTGCTCTGTAATGATGCATCTTTAAACAAAATCCCTAGTTCAAGATATTAAAAACATGTCAGGTTGGGAGGCAAAATATAGAATGCTTTTTCAAGTCAAATGATTGTTCTTCAAAATCCTAAAACCTGCAAATTAGAGTAGAGCACACATACTATTCTAACACTGACCTCAGCAAAGACGAAAGGTGTATCGTGTTTGAGGTACACGTGACCAGAGCGGATGGCACTGATAGAGGCAGGGCCACAACAGAAGATGCCTTGACTGGTCTCCTGGGGAGTGGAGTCAACAGCCTGCCAGCCTCCGTTGCCAGGAGGAAGGTCTGGTCTGGTCATCCAGCAGTCATTCCACACGTGAAAGTTCCTACAGGCAGATAGTCTTCTCAGTTCACAAGATTTCAGTTGTTCAAGTTAAAGCCCAAAGTGATATTATGTTTTCCAACAAGGTTAAGGCAGGTTATCTGGACAGATTCTTCTTTGTTGAGTTCAACAAAGAAGAATCCGTCCAGTTAACCTGATTTAACCTTGTTAGATTTTTCTACCTGGATTATTGATCAGGACATCATTACGTTTTGTAAACCTGACTCCCTGTGTCTTGCAAAAGAGGAGCAGTTTGGCTAATTACTTTTTTGTGTGTGTCACGTTTAATTCTTCAATTCAATGTAGAGGTTAAAAGAGGTTAATTAGTTTATAACTGAAGGGTAAATGTGTCATGATCAGCAGCTCCCGCTGGCCCCCCATCTGCTCACTTCCCTGCCCCTTCATGCCACAGCTCCCTTGTTTTCATGTTTCTGTTTACTTTAAATGATTATTTTTTGCTTAGTCATGCTCTGCTCCTGTCACTTGTCACCACGCCCCCTCAGCTGATTCACAGCAATCAACCTTCATGCCTCTCACCTGTTCTCTCCACTACTTAAACTCCATGCCCACACTCACTCAGTGCAAGATTATTAAACCTTCCACGGCCCCTGATTCTCAAGCCATTCATAGTTTCATGCCTGAACTTCAAGCCTTGTGTTTTGGACTACGACCTCACGCCTGCCTCTTGGATTTATCGCTCTGCCTGTCGCTCGTCTGGTTTTTGCTCTGCCCTTCTGACCCTGGTACGACAACTTTTTCTGGCCCTTTGACTCTGGATTTTGGATTACCCTTTGGATCTGTTTTAAGAAATCTGACTCCCCATGCTTGACCCCTGCCTTGCCTTCTGGACCACGACACTACCTCTTCTAGATCCTACAGCTGCAATTATAAATAAAACTCCAAAAAAGTTCAATCTGGTCCTCTGGACATTCAAAAAAGCAAAAAACAAAACAAAACAAAAAAATGTAGAAACGTTTCGTCTCTCATCCAAGAGACTTCCTCAGTCTGAGGTGCTGTTTTCAGCTCAGTCTCCTAAATAGCACCTTCTCATATACCTTCTCTTTATAAATAAAACTGTTTTCATTTTTTACTCTTGTGTCTTGTCATTCTGAATCCAAAAGCCTGGTTTCGTGACAAAATGTGGCTAAGCTTTTATTTTAAATTGAACAAAGAAGGGGCTTAGTTACAGAAAACCAATTAACATTTCTTAGGATGTAGTAATTAGCTGCATCATAACTGCTGCCTACTTCAAAGATAAAGGGTGTAATAAACATATGGAATAAATAAACTCATCTAGTATGAGGGTACATTAAGTGCACTAGTAAAAAGCAGATTATTTTCAGTAGTTTGAAATGATTGCTGAAATCGCATGATTTTTCTGGGCCTTCAGCTTAGTGGGAAATACTTTTGAAGTAGAGCTAATTTAGAGCATTTAGCAGCAGTCACCTCTACAAGTATTGTGCTGTCTTGTGCAAAGTTCTTTATCTTACCAAACAGAGTCACTATTGAGGTAATCAATTGGCTCCAAATTTTCATCAAAATAGACGTCTGTCGTGAGGGACACATCAGTGTCGTGTGCAGACTGGAAGTTGGTCACACTGCGGACAGGTATGCCAAGACAGCGCAGCACTGATAACAAGAAAAGACAAAAGAGTCACATGATTTTGCCATTTGTCAGGCTGAACAGATTTTGCAAATTATATTTTATATACTTTTGTTGTGTAGGGGAACACCACCTCAGAAAAGAACACCTCTTCTCAGCTCAAACAGAAAACGAGTTCACCTCATCTCAAACAAACATCTTTCATGTGTTTTTGTGTTTGAAACTGTTTAAAATAAGATGCATCTTATTTCCATTGGAACAAACAGACATTGTTTTGCAGGTGTTCAACTCAGCTCACAAACTTCTTAGTTGACACTAATGTGAGTGTATTTAAAAAACTTGTCACTGTGTTAATCACTGCCAATATGAACTCATTTCCCATGAAACGGACAGATCGTTTTAATGAGTTTTGATTCAACTGACCTTGAAGTTTGAAACATCTGCTGAGATTTTACCTTTATCAGAAAGGAGGATTACTCCCAGGATAGATTCCCATGCAGATAACACATGAAAGAACCCTTTGTTAATGACATTTTCTTTTCAGGAGATGAACAGCGACACCTTTTGATGAACATTGCATGTTAGTGATTCTGTCTTATTTCATACCTGAATGTTTATCCATGAAAATGTGTGTTTTAAGTAATCTCTCTTTAAGATAATCATTTGTCTTATTTGTCTCTTTTGAAAGAGTAACTTTTAAAGCAGACAGAGAAAATGGACTTTAGACTTTATAAAACATGACAAAGAGTTAGGATCACCTCTTCCGAAAGGCGGACCTTTACCTCTGAAACACACAGACAGTTAAGTTTCACTTCTTCTTCTTCTTCTTCTTCTTCACTACTACTACAAGCACATCTACTTCTCAACTTCTGCTACACACTGACTGAGGCTTCTTCTCATGAAGACTTCACTTGAGCTCGGAACTGGGAGAGAAAAACCCAGTTTCTACATGGAAGAGAAGCATCCTTTCTGCACAGAGATGGGACAAAAGATACAGAAGAAACCCTGCAGAACCAGAAGCAGAACCTGGCATTAACCTGAGATTTGTTACCAGAACCATCACAACGCAGAGGAGTGAACAAATCCCAGCTGACTCCCATATGGACCCTCGTCCCTCTAAGATGACAGGTGAAAAATCAGCCTCTCAGTCACCAGAACATCTGGGCTGGTACCATTTTTAAGCAGCTGTTGTACCATTCCTGACCATCTCATTCTGGTAGGAAAAAGACTGTTAATGCCTTTCTGGTGATCATACTTTGTTCATCACAATAATCTTATCAGACAAACTACAGCTCACTTTAGACACAATTTAAACTACTTCACAAACAGAACCAGTCCAAACTCTGCCTTTTTAAGTTTCACTGATTTGAATAATCAAGTAGACCTTTGATACAAAGCTATTTGTTATTCATTTGTTTACTATGCATAATTTTCATCACATATATCACAGATTATTATTTTTATAATAAAATCCATAAAATCAACTGAATTTGTGATTATTTTGGCATATCTGTGTGTATTAACTGATTTGATGCCCTTTAAACACAAGAAAGAACTCACGTTTCAGTTTACATTAATTTGGGGTTAAACGAGAGACTGATTTTTCCTCTAAAACAGAGGTGGTGCCCAAACAATGAGGTTATTTGCATAATAAATGCATATCTTATGAGCTTAACACATAACTGATAATTTACAATACATATCCAGCCCCATATCCCTCTACAGTTGGAAGAATAACAAGATGAGCTTAAAGACTGACTGAAAGCAACAAATATAGCTCCATTCATGATAAAAGTAGCAAAGTATGACAAGATTGCCAATGGCAATGAGGCATTCAGGTTGTATTTGAAAAGTGTTGATGACATCAAGGCATGGATGGCTTCAATTGTTTACGTTTTAATGATCAGAAAACTGAAGTCATTGCGTTTATCTCTAGCTCTACCACCGTTACTGATCCCGTATATCATGACTCTCTTAAACCATATCTTAAGCAGTCTGTTCCGAATCTCGGGATGGTTTTAGACTCTGACAAATCAATTCTGTTCTGCAGAAAAGCTTCTTCCAGTTAAGGCAGGTAGCTAACCTTAAGTCGGTGTTGTCCAGATCTGACCTTGAAAAACTAGTTCATGCCTTTATCACTACCCGACTGGACTACTGCAATGCTCTCTATGCTGGGGTCAGTCAGGTCTCCATTTTGCATTTCCAGCTCGTCCACAATGCTGCTGCTCAACTCTTAACTCAAACTCGTAGGTTAAAACATATCACACCAGTTCTGTCCTCACTTCACTGGCTCCCGGTATGTAGCAGAATTGATTTTAAAATTTTCCTGTTGACCTTTAAGTACATAATTGGCCTCGCACCTTCTTATCGCTCTGAACTATTGGAACCATATGTTCCTTCTCGGGTCTTGAGATTATCTGATCAGTTGCTTTTGGTTGTTCCAAAAGCAAAACTGAAACTTAGAGGTGATAGGGATTTTTCAGTCATGGGCCCCAAACATTGGAACAACCTGCCCCCCAACATTAGGCAGGGCACTTCTCTTCCTGTTTTTAAATCTTTGCTAAAATTCATCTGTGCTCTGGCATTTCACACAGTGTGAGCTGATTTACCATTTTTTGTTCTGTGTTTTAGTTTTTCTTTGATGTTTTTGGTACTACCGTTTTTATCCCCATTAGATTACTCTCATTGATTTTTTTTATTAAGCACTTTAGTAACAGCTTCTGTTTTAAATGTGCTTTATAAATAAAGTTGACTTGACTTCACCCATGGATAAGTATTAGAGGCATGTGTAACTCAGGGAGTCTCACATGACAGCTCTGTCCTCGAATTGACACAGTGATTGTAACATTGTGTTAGAGATTTAGCCAATGAAATATCACATTTACATGTAGATTTCTGCTTTAGCTGACAATAATGCTTCTGAACCCTTTCAGGTATCTTCTGTAAGTTTTTTTTGTGTGTAAAAACACAAAAAAACAAACATCTGTTCTCCATTTGGGTTGTTTGTCTTCACTCTGTGATTCCTTCCCTTGCAACGGTCATACCCTGCACACCATTATATTAAATTTAAATTGCTCTTACGTACTTGTTGTAGTGACTCCAGAGAAGACCCAGCACTGCCCATATTTCACAGGGATTCCATTAGTGGAGTGGTATTTCCTCAAGATCTCCACACTACTGCTCCACGCCGAAGGAGAGACGCCCTCAGAGTAATCCCCTGACCAGTTCCCAACCAGGACGCCATAGTCATCCTGAGCATTTATCTTAAAACCACCACAGTGCTAAGTCATTCATTGATCTTTAAAATTTGTTAAAGGATTGGTATTAATAGTCGTGTAGTGTTGTTATGCACATGCTCACCAAGGCAGATAAAACTCTGACCACATTGACAGGATCCCCTCGGCCAGATGGGGGCATGTCGCTCTTTTCCAGGATGAACAGGCAGGCTTCCAGGACTCCCTCGTGAAACTGTAATGGATATACGGACAGGATTTAGATTGGAACCATTTTAATTTACACACACACAAATAGTTTAGAGTCACTGCAGACATGGTTGCAACATGTACTGTACAGCAGGAATGTAATGCAATTTAATAGCTCTCCATTTTTTAAACTTTTTTTGGAAAAAGTAGACCATTCTGCTACACAAAGAAAGCTTGCAACAAATTATACTAGTGTATGAGCCAACACTTGATCTCAATACAAGTATTGTATGCATCTAAAGGTGGGTAAACGTCTACTACTAGGTATCGTAAATGAGAACAAAGTTCTTTTTTTTTTTTTACCTCCCAAGTTTTTAAAAGCACTCTTGCCTTTGTCTTAGTTTTGAGGCCTCGTGGGTCATTTTAAACCAAGGGCAACAAGAGGGTTAATAGAATAGCCAGGTCATTTTTGAGTTGACGCCTTGTCCATTAATTATCAATAGTTAGTCCCCTTTCAGTGGTGACATCAGTCACAAAGCACAGGGTGTGCAGAAAAGGGTGGAAGTCTTTCGCTAGGCTAGGCTAATGGCTAGCCAAACAAGGACATGTTGTATTTAGTTTTTCAGACTTCTAAAACATTTCTAACTCTAAAGTGTCATACTGTTTTGAAAGAATGGTACATAAACTAGGGAATCAGGGTAGTGCAGTTGATAGAGCTGTTGCCTCCAGCAAGAAGGTCAGCAGATTGAATTGCAGCTGGAGGCCATTCTGGATGGAGTTGGCATGTTCTCTCAAGTGTGGGTTTTCTCTGGGTGTTCCTCCCACAAACAAAAACATGTATGTTAGGTTGATTGGTAACTCTAAATTCTTCCTAGGTGTGAGTGAGAGAGGTTGTCTCGTTTGTCTCCATGTGTCCCGATGATGGACTGGAGACCTGTCCAGGGTGTCCCCAACCTCTCATACAGTGACTGCTGGATATGAGCGACCCGAAAAAGAAGACGCGGGTAAAGATAATGGATGAATAGATGGTACATAAAGTAATTTAAAAAAATTGCATGACACAATTTTTTTCATTTGATGTTTTCTCAACCAAACAGCATAAATGTTGCAATGCATATGTATGTGCAGAGCATAGATCTTGTAAATGTCGGTGCCCTGAAGCTGCTAACTATATCTGTCCACTGGGCGTTAACTTTTTTTAAGCCCAGCATACTTGTATTTGCATTACTACACAAATGTTTGTGTATTTCAGTGTAGAAAACTTTATCAAACTAAACAAGCTGATTTGACTGATGAGCTAAAGTTCTGGCCAGTTGGGACCGCACGGACTGCTGCCATCTTAAAACAGCTTCAAGGACAAAAATGTTAATGCTATTCATGAAAATATTGCTTTAGTAACTTTATATTGTGTTACTTTTACATTAGAGTGATATATTTTTTTTTATCAAAATCAAACTGTATTTACACTGGAAAGTGTGTAGGTCTGTGTTTTATTACTATTACAAATATATATATAGAGTGTGTTTTTTTTTTTTTCTTAAAGGAGCATGTTAGGCAGGACCTGGCAGAGACACTATCTGACACAAAAATAATGGACCTTGTTAAAAAAATATATTTTCAGAGAGATTTAAAAAATGCAATTTCAATCATGTTTGTGCCTCCATACTTTGGCTTCAGACAGTTATTCTCCAACCTTCCATTCTGCAGAATGTTTTTAATAAAAATCCTTATTGGTAATACACTAAAAAAAACATAAAATTTCATGTAAATAACATTTTAATATAAAATATATCTGTAGTGTAATGGTTTATGATAGCTTTTTTTTTTTTTAACTGTTGAAATGATTGAGACTTCAGTGGCTGTGAACTGTGAGAACAGTCCACACTGTTTTAGCCCCCAGAACTAGTTCTTATCTTGTCAGTCCAACTAGACTTTACATTTCTTTCTGCAAACTGAGGTCATTCAAACAGTTGTCTATGACAGTTTTACAACAGATGTTAAATGTTTATTATCTTTCAACAGAATTCCATTTCAAAAATACACCATCTCTGAGAAATTGTTTTTTAGCTGTAGGGAAATTCTGATGTATTTACGGAGGGCTCAAATATTGTAAGGTGTGCCACAGGCTGAAGGTGCAGTAATTATTGTTCAGAAACAGAAGCAGTATTTCCTCCAGTCTCTACCTGCCCAAAGTTCCATGTGCGAGAACCGATTTGTTTCTCTGTGCCATAATAAATCCTTCCTGTGTCGTTCAGCACATACTCCTTCCGCTGCTCCTCGTCATCCAGGAACACAGCATCCTCTGAAAGGTACATAAATCACAAAACATACAGTTTTCTTTTAACACTGAACTTATA